ATCTTTTACAAAATTAGGCTATGTTTGTGTAGACTTCCACTTTTGTACTTTTAATAGTATAAAGTACAAAGTACAAATACAACTTTTACTTTGGTATTTTTGCTTTGAAAACCGTTTGGGTAAAAAAATTTGAAAAGCATGCTTTCCAAAACTGAAGTACCATTTTCTGTTTGGCAAAAGCACTCTATCAGTCATGTGATTCATTTGATCTTATACGTGACAAAGGCCACATTACTCATGATTAGCCACATTTATAAACTGAAGATACACACAGATGCCACATGTACACATCATGTACACATGGCAACCCCTAAGAATTGGCACTTGGTTTAGGAAACGAAGTGGTTTTGTACAAGTATAATGCTATATATAACATTACAATAAACAATCTATAAAAATATTTTATAAAAACATTACAGTGGCAGTAAACATGCAATAAACATACCATTAAGCTAGAAGGTATTGCTTGAAATTGAGAAAAACATTAAAAGAAAGGGGGAAAATATGAAACTGGGATCCATACTTGTGATACTGGTGAGGACTGTGCTTCCGATGACAATTTCCGGTGGCAATAGTGGTTGGAGATGGGCTATGATGGAGCAAGAACCTGTGGTGGCAAAGAAGTTAGGGCTTGAAGACGATAGGCGAATGGGGGAGTCTCAATTGAGGGGTTTTACTTGAAGGGTGACCATCCTTTACACAAAGTGGAAGCAAAACTTCCCCCAAAGCACACAATAATAAAATTCGGCTTCGTGCTTTTGGGGGGGGGTGTGCTTTTAGAAAGCATGAAAGCCAAAGTAGGAAGTATGCCATCCGAACACGATATGGTGTTTTTCATACTAAGCAGGGCCTTACTTTCATGGAATTAGTTTCATAAAAAGCAATATTCCAAATGTACTTCCAAAAAAGTAATTTCACAAAAGTACTTTTTTACAAAGTATTATTATGAAATTACTTTCAAGAAGTATTTTTACATGGAGACACTTTCAAGAAATGATTCTTAAAAGTACTTTTAAAGAGTAATTTCATAGAAGTACTTTTAGAAATTTCTTTCAAATAACACCACTATATTGGTTAACCTACATGTTATGGCCAATAAACACTACATAATACTTACTACCAACCATTAAACACCTGTAAGGAGGTAAAAGTGCATCATCATCAATTAAATAAACATAATTGTATCTATATATGTTTCATGAAACACAACCCTAGTCAATATATAGTGAATAGAAAAAACACAGATGTAAACTACATGTTGAAGTCACATGATGTTCCCTCCCATCTAGCAGGGACAAATGCAAACCACATGTTGAAGTTATATGCGACCATTAGATTTTGTATGCAAGGCCCCTTTCTGTGACGACGATATGTTGCTTGCATTTTAGCATGAACCTATATAGATATGTGTCCCATCAATGACTCTTATACTATTCTACAAAATAAAATTCAATTTTATAAACTCATTTATTTTTTTTAAATAATAAAGCATAGTGTGTAAAGATTAGCTTAAAGTAGGGTTAGTATTTTGGGTTGTGTTAGAAGTTAGGAGGCCCTATGTTGGTTAATGAACCACTACCATCAACACATTATTGAAATGTTGACTAATTGTCTGCTAAAAGTGAACGTCACATCATTGTATAACAAACCAAATAGTTTGGTAAAGGTGTGACCTGAAAGGGATTTCTTTTGCTTTCTTTGTTCGTGTTCTGTGCAACGATGGGTTCACTGGATGCGTGAACCCCCCAACCAGAGACATCTACGTTGACATGTTCAAAATTCAGTAACTTTAATAGACGTTTAGCTGTTAGTTAAAGAATTTGGTTGAATCAGATACAAAAAGACAAAAAACTTAAAACACACCTTACACTATTCTCCCTCCCATACTTCCTCCACCAACCCCTAGCCCAGAAGCATCCATCGACGACTGACGATCTCACTAAATGTAGAAGCCACTAGCGGTGACACAAAATCAAGTTGATGCGTTCTTCTTCTTCTTCTTTCATGTGTTTTGATATTGATAATGGGCCTGAGGTTGAGTTTGGAGATGGTCGACAACAGTCCTTGTGATGTTGGGCTTTTTTATTTTAACCTCGAAATCCTTGACACCCAAATGTGGGTTTGGTGATGATAAAGAAAAAGATAAATCCATCCCTTTTTTAATTGGGTATTGTCTGTTGTGGTCTTAGTTTCTGATTTGTGTTCATAGAGGAAATATGCAAAGAGACAAAAAAGTAATGTGGTTCCTTGTTTAATTTGTCTGGCATGTGTACATAACGTGGGCCTTTACTTGATTAATGTTTTTACAGTCTTGGGGCTAATTGATTTTGATTTTCTCTTGCTCTTGACATTGGGCAAGAAGAAGGCAAAGCATAGGAGAAGAAGGAAGAAGAAAAGTGAGAATGCGGAAGAAAAGAAAGAGGAGACTTTAGGCCATGTTTGGTTCAACTCTCATTCTTTTTCATTCTTACCCAAGATGAAATTCTAAAATGGACAAGAATGGATAAAAATAGGTAGAATGAGAAAATATTGCTATGTAAAAGTGCTTTTGTAAGAGTGCTTTTATAAAAGTGCTTTCATAAAAGTGCTTTCATAAAAATACTTTGATAGAAGTACTATCATAAAAGTTCTTTTGTAAAAAGTGCTTTTATAAAAGTACTTCCATAAAAGTGATTTTATAAAAGTATAAAAGTACTGTAAAAGTACTTTCATAAAAGCGCTTTTGTAAAARTGCTTTTGTAAGGGTGCTTTTATAAAAGTGCTTTCATAAAAGTTTGTTCGTGTAAAAGTACTTTTATTAAAGTGCTTTTGTGTAAAAGTAATTTTATTAAAGTGCTTTTGTGTAAAAGTACTTTTATAAAAAGTGCTTTCATGTAAATGTACTTTTATAAAAGTGCTTTTGTGTAAAAGTATTTTTTTAAAAAGTGCTTTTCGTGTAAAAGTACTAATATAAAAGTGCTTTTGTAAAAGTACTTCCATGGTAGTCCGCTAGTAAACATCTATACTAGTAGTTTTCTAGGCAGAGTTTTTTCAAAGAATGAAAGTGAGCAAGATGGAACATGATTATTTTTCATACTGTAGACTACCTTAATTTTGTACTATGGGCTGATTTTTCATTCTAAAAAGAACGTTTCCCATGGCAAGAATTTTGTAACCAAACACCCCGATGTTATTCATTCTTGCTCATTCTTGCCTAGAATGAGCAAGAATTAAAAGAATGAGGCCTAGAACAGTGAACCAAACATGGCCTAAGCCACCATCATCTGTAATTTTATTTGTAGATTTGCATTGTGTAGGATGTGCAAAGAAGGAGAAAGGTTCTTTCTACGTTTTCCCACCCAGATAGTCCAATATTAATCATATAAATTCTGTCTCTAGTTAATACATTTTGATTGAGTGTTGGGCACTGGACAAGAGTTGAAGAGCTTGTCATGGATATGGCGCAAAACCAAGTAACCATAAAGGGGATAGTAGAGCCCCATGTTGTTACCTAAAGCCGAGGGAGAGCCTATGTCAGAAGTTGTTACTTCGCAATCCCATGTATCTTTGTTTTTCTCTACTTAGAAATGTTGAAGATGAAAAACAAATCCCAGCCCCCTGTTTCATCATTCATCAGGTTAGTGGATTGACGATGGTAGAACTGAATGTGAGCATGCATTCCGAGGCCTGTGCCGAGCAATTGAAGAGAAAGATACTCAAAATGAGAGGTGGGTTTATGCTCATATCACATTACAAGCAATAGATAAAAGAATTTTTTTTTTGGGTTGGTTCTACTTCTTCTTGACTTCTACTTCTGCAATCTCATCTTGATCATAGTATATATTATGTGGCTTAGGGGTGCAAACAGCGGAGACAGAGTTGAGCACATGAAACGTGACAGCAACCGGAACCATGGATGCTGATCTTCTCGTCGACTATGTATACGGAAGGACCAAAAAGCAGACTCGAATCGTATCACAACAGGAACCACCTGTCAGCGAAAAGAAAGAAGAGGGGGAAAAGCCGACAGAAGAAGTAACGACGAAGGCCGATGAGAAAAGGCAGAGAGTGGCAACGGGGGAGAAAAAGGGGAATAATGGTGAGGGTGGGGGTGGCGGTGAAAATAAGAGGGAAAGCGGAAGGAGAGGAGAAATAGTAACACGGAGGGTACTGTTTTGGAAGTAGTGCAAATTCAAATATGTATGATATAAATACATACAAAATAATAGAAAATGTAAAGTTTTACMMTCTACAGTTTTGTATTTGTACTTATGGAAGGAGTACAAATGCAAATTTATAGAATGCAAAATCTTATATAATTATATTTTGTATGTAYTTGTACTCTACATATTTGTATTTGTATTCTTTCAAACTGAGCATTTTTGTGTCAGATTCAACCCGATTCTTTCAACTAATGGGTAAAGGGTCATTAAAGTTGGTAAATTTTAAACACGCCAATGTGGCTTTTTTGATTGGTAGATTCACACGCCCAATGCACCCACACGCGGACTTGTCCTCACYTGTTTACCTTAMGAGGGCCATTTTGGTTTGCTAGAATAAATATTTGGAATCGGAGTTGGAATGGAGTTAGTATCTTCTCCCAACAAAATACGTTCTAACCCTCTATCAACTTAATCTAACACCRCACATCTCACCATAAAACTAAGGCCTACCATAAAAGTGAGACCTACCATGTATAAGATGTGTGATGTGAGATGTCTCTTGATGGTAGAGATTTGGAACTTGTTCTGTTGGAAGGAAGGAGTTTAAAACTTCAAATCAAAATTTAAAACGAGTTTCCATTTCCGCCCCACAACGTCGCACATGCATTCCTACTTGTAGTGAGAACATCTTCCCATGATTGTATCAGAATCGAAGATGTCATCATCGGGAACTGCTCCCAATACACGGCGGGGATATTGGGACGTTGTGGGGCGGAGATGTGAACACGTTTAAAGCCCAACCAAAACTTCCAAAGTTCAAAACCCAATGGACCGTTAGAAGGAAGGAGGACGAAGAAAATGGTTTATTCTCTATCTTGCCTTCACCTTCCATCCTCACCAAAACCCAACCAAAGCCATCATGGAAGAAATTCACAGCCCATTGCCCTAGAAAATCTCAGAACTGATCTTCTTCACAACTTCAATGATCCATTCGAACTCAAACAAATCCATTCTCTTATCATCAAAACAAATTCTCCCCACTCAATTCTCCCTCTCTCTCGTGTTGGGTTGGTCTGCGCTTTYTCCCCGAGCTTCGATTATGCTCAACGGATCTTTGAACGGGTAGACAAACCAGAAATTGTTATATGGAATTCTTGCTTGAAAACCTTCGCCGAGGGCGATTCTCCCATTGATGCCATTCGTCTCTTCTATCGGTTGCGCCAGTTTAATGTCAGGCCTGATACTTTCACCTGTTCATTCGTTCTCAAAGCTTGTTCCATTTTGTTGGATCTTACCGGTGGTAGGAGTGTTCATGGATTGATTGAGAAACTCGGGTTTCAATCGGATTTATTCCTTCAAAACACAATCGTTCACATGTATGCATGTTGCGGTGCAATTGATGATGCTCGAAGGTTGTTTGAGAAGATGAGCCATAGAGATGTTGTGACGTGGAATATCATGATAACTCAATTGATAAAGCGGGGACATATTGCCGAGGCCTACGACTTGTTTGCTCGAATGCCCGAGAGGAATGTGAGGTCATGGACTGCAATGATTGCAGGTTACGTCCAATGTGGGAAGCCTAAAGAGGCCATTCATCTTTTCATACAGATGGAAAGTGCAGGGCTGAAACCTAATGAGGTAACAGTTGTGGCTGTTCTTGCAGCCTGTGCGGATTTGGGTTCGTTGGACCTTGGTAGGAGGGTTCACGAGTACTCGGACAGATGTGGATTTAAGAGAAATGTGCGAGTTTGCAACACTCTGATTGACATGTATATTAAATGCGGCTGCCTCGAGGTTGCACGCCAGGTTTTTGATGAAATGGAAGAACGAACAGTTGTGTCGTGGTCAGCCATGATTGGAGGCCTAGCAATACATGGGMAAGGCAAGGAAGCTCTGAGGCTCTTCTCCAAGATGACCCAAATTGGCATTAGACCCAATGGTGTTACCTTCATAGGACTCTTGCATGCATGTAGTCACATGGGACTGATAAACGAGGGCCGCAGGTTCTTTGTCAGCATGACTAGGGACCACGGGATAACCCCCCAGATTGAGCATTACGGTTGCATGGTCGATCTTCTTAGCCGGGCTGGTTTCCTCCAAGAAGCCTACGAGTTCATCAAGAACATGCCTGTCAAACCCAATGGAGTCGTGTGGGGAGCTCTCCTCGGTGGTTGTAAGGTTCACAAGAATGTCAAGTTGGCTGAAGAAGCAATCAAGCACCTTCTCGTATTGGATCCACTTAATGATGGTTATTACGTAGTTTTATCGAATATATATGCAGATGCAGGCCGGTGGGAGGACACAGCAAAAGTAAGGAGGTTGATGAGGGATAGGGGTGTTAAGAAGACACCCGGATGGAGTTCAATCACCATAGATGGCGTAGTCCATGAATTTGTGGCCGGGGATGGGAACCATCCTCAAGCTGAGGAGATATATTGCAACTGGGAGGGATTACTACGACAGATGAAGCAAAGAGGCTATGTGCCAGATACTTCGGTTGTCCTCCTTGACATGGATGAGGGTGAGAAGGAGAAGGTTCTGTATCGTCATAGCGAGAAGTTAGCTGTTGTTTATGGTCTAATGAAAACACCGCCATCAACACCAATTAGGATCATGAAGAACCTTCGGGTTTGTGAAGACTGCCACAATGCTTTGAAATTGATATCCGCAATTGCTAAAAGAGAGATTGTCGTGCGTGATCGAAATCGGTTCCATTGTTTCAAAGATGGTTCTTGTTCTTGTAGAGACTATTGGTAGCACTTGAAGTTTTTCCAGTGGACCATCTGATTCTAGGATCAAACTTTCAGGGGTTGTCTTTTGATGGATGATGAATCTATAACTCGCTAGTTGCTGGGGCATCATGTATGTGACCTCTCCCCAGATGATGCCATTTCCAGCAATCATTGAAGAAGCTAAGGCTTGCAAAATAAAGAAAGCTTTGTTGGCCATGCCAACGCGGCAAGGGCTGCTTGTCCAGATATGACTGGTGTACTGTATCTATTTACATGGAGGCTGTTTGATCCATTTTTTTTAACCTAGCTCAAATTAAAATTTATTCCTGGTCCAGGAGCGGCCATTGATAAACTTTGTTGGCCATGCTATCGTGAACCTACGATGAACATAAGGCCATTGTGAGGTTGCGATGAGCTCCGATCCATTGCAGACTTGCGATGAGCATGAAGCCATCACAGACCTGCAATGAACTCAGAACTATCATGAACTTGCGATGAGTCCAAGACCATTGCAAGTCATAACGAGTAAAGAAAYACATGCTTCATTAATAACACATGTGATAGAACGTCTAGTAGGATTAGAAAAGACATGGGAGATAAGTATTGATGTCACCTGCACACGAAAGGAAGTAGCACACATGTATTATGGGAATCCTCAAACGAAAGGAAACCCCATCCTTGAGATATCTCATAAGACACGTGACGAAACTCTAGCGGTGTTCCCTGAGAACTGACACTAGATCAAATATTCCTTTCCGTAGTGGGAATCAAATACTTTTAGTTCGTTCCTTTCCGGACCTCGGGATCTCTCCCTATAAATAGGGGTCCAACTCATAACGAGGGTATCATTCTATCATTCTATTCGTCCTAGCCTTTAGCCTACCCCTTGCCTTTAGCCTTCCTTCGTCTTTCAAGGCGACCCCCGCACATAGCCTTACCTTCATACTCACACTTACATTTCCCCCTTCATTACTGGGCTCCAGGTTGCCAACACATGCACCATACCTGCACCAATGGAGCTTATGCACAATTTCAAACTCCCTCCTAGCATTGGGTAGCACTCTAACACCCAAACATGCCATTGAAGCAGTTAGGTTAATAATGCCTAGAGAAGTGGTATCTTCATAGACTTTTGTTTCGTTCTTTCCAAATCTCTCAAGTGATAGTAAAACACGCCACCGAACCCACTAATCTTGTCCATGGGTTCATCTGGTTTTGAGCCAAAGCAAATGACCCCTTAGAGTTTCATTGTCTTTGGAATCCAATCCACCCCAATCACCATGCTAAACTTTTTCCACACCTTTCTAGCCAAACAACTATGCACCATCAAATGATGGATACTTTCAGCGCTACCTTCTTTGCATTGAGCACATTTAGGTACAAGTAGTATTCCCACACTTTGCAGGTCACAACCCATTCCTATTCTTCCCCTTAGCAATTTCCATTTAAAGAAAGCAACTTTGGTAGGTAAAGCCTTGTTCCACAAAAGCAAACTGTTAGCATTACTACATGGTATAAGATTGGGCAGATTACTGGGCACACAACTATGATAATAGAAGGGTATTCTAAAGTAGTAGTGGGATGGCCACATCAAAGCAAACTTCATTTGCTTAATGAAGTTACTGTTTCCAATTGAAAAAAAACTTGGCACTATAGAAATTAAAGCAATAGCAAGAACATTGAACACCATACGTTCTTAGGTTCATAGATCACTAAATGGTTTTGCTAATACCTTGACCAAGGAAAATGCTAATAGAAATAAGTTTTTTTTTTACTCATTGTTGGTGTRAAAATTTTAAGAAATTCTCATGCAACATAATTCACTCAATCGAGTAATTGAATATCTATTTTTCGGGTAAGGTCCATTCAAGGAATCATATGGATTGTTCCCCTTAATTACATCTCTACAAGAAAGTAGAGAACACCTTTTGATTATGATGTAGAGAAATGAATGTATAGAACAAAAGAAAAGAGTAATAGAGTACTTCTTAAAAAGAACTTTTCATTTGCATTTCTTTTTACATACTTCAAGTGTACAAGAATGAGAAGAGAAAAAAAATACAATTGAGAAACTCCACAACAATACATTTCTCTCTTTATTTTCTCTTTGATACAAAGAAGATTTACTTATTCCTTTCTTTACAACAAGTTGTAGTCAATTAGATGAAATTTTGACTATAGAATGTAGACAACCTTAATCCTTTGGACTTTGTATTCAAGAAAGGAACTGTAGTCGGTCAAATTGAATATTTGATTGTAGATGTTTTTTATCCTTCTGTTCTTCATTTTCATTTGAAGGGAACTATAATCAGCCCTTGGGAATTAGACGTTAGATGGTTTAATCCCAAACTTGTCTTGATAGAGGGACCATAATCAACCAAGTAAAAACACTTGATTGTAGATGGTTGCTTTACTTCTATTTCCYTACTTAAAAGCAAAAACAAAAGAGAGAGAGGAAGAAGGATACATAAAAGAAGGCATATATAGTAAAATATTTACAAAGAGGGCTTTCCTTTACCTACTTGTATTAGTGAGATTTCTTTTTCTTCCTTCTCTTCCATTGAGAAGTTTTCTTTTATTCTTTCTTTATCTTGATTTTTTTTAAGAATCTCTATGAGTGGTATGTTTGAGACAAATTTCTCCAAAGAGTGGGCCTCTAGTTTCCCATTAAGGAGCTTAAATAGGGAGTGGGGTAATTACTAATTATATAACTACCCCTCCCCCTAGGTGAAAGACACCTATCCCTCCCACTTAAAGAGAGGGAACTCCCATATGACACCTTGYTTAAATTTGATGATTTAGCTAGCACACTAGCCAACTCACTATTTGGGTTATAAACTATATAAATATTATTTTTTAAATTCCTACAACAGTGCCCCCTTGAACACTGTGGGCTCAAAATATGGGTATATAGGGCTCAAATAAGCAATTAGAGTGGAAACTTATAAGTTTTATTATTAAAAAAGAATTGAACCTGAATTAGAAGAGTCCAAGTATGATTAGGACTATTGGAGTATTTCTTATTAGATAAAATCCAATATAATTTAGCTAATCAATTGATTTGATGAGGCTTCATATGAACTCATCTTGTTAAATTAAAAAGTCCTAGTGCAATTGGGACTCGATTTCATGATGCTTGACATTATTAATTGTATGATTTGATTTGAATGTTTTGAGGGCTAATAAAAAATATTCATAGTTGGAAGAATCCTAGTTGAAGTAGGACTCATCGATTTTATCAAATTACCTTTGATTCACCTTTAAATCTAAGATATTTTGGCCAAGCTTGGAAGTACTTATTTGAAAAATAAGTGCTTATTCAAATAAACACTTATTTGTGTTTAACACCCACCTTTTTTAAATGCTTATTTTAAAAAGCACTTATTTCATGTTGGGTGTTTGGTGGTCTTTTTCTCTAATAAGCACTTATTCATTTAAAAAGACAACTTTAACCCCGATTTTAAGACAAAATTTATCCAATAAGGTCTTTTGTGTTTCTGAGATACATCTAGGCCATGGCTATCTACATAGTAGAAGACATGTTGGCTTGCCTGAAACCATAGCAAGAGAAGAGATTGATGTCTCAACCAATGGGTAGAGGTTGCAGGAAGAACCAGATATAACAAGTATATACATAGAGAACGATCATGAGTGATTGAAGAAGAAGATAGATAACGAGTATATATACAAGTTAGCCGACTAGGTAGTTGAGATAGGTAATAGGTATATACACATAGATAATAGAGCAACTATTTTAGGATCTAATCCTAGCATGTCTTTGTATTCCCAAAGTAAAAACATCTTTGTATTTTTTAAGAAAGGATTCATACATTATTAGCTCTTCTCTAGTGCGTAGACCGACAAAGATGGGCTTAGGGTCTTCAACACTTCTAAGGTTGATTTCTTGAAGGTCATATATTGTTGCTTGAACTCCATTTTCAAGCATTGGTGATGCATGTTGAGCTCCTTTAACTTCTTCTATTTCTTCATCTTCATTGAGAGGATTAATTAATCGAGGGATACCCACTTGAGGCACGAATTATTCCAATTAATACAATTAAGGTTCATACCTTGAAGTTCCATTAACGTATTAAAATCCTAAATAAAATTCATACCTTGGTCCTCTAGATGTGAGGATCCATTATGCTCTTTGGTGAAGATGTAATTGACCTTCTATTTTGAATTCTCCACCATCTTTTATCTTTTTAATGATAATGTTGTTTTGCTCTTTATTTTCTACAATCTTATTTTGTTGTATATTATAGAAACTTATAAGCTGTTTGAATACAGAGACTTGTGGAGTTATTTTAGTGACTCAATGACTTGAACTTTTAGAGAACTATTCTTTTATTCTTTCCTCATTTTATTGGAAATGACATTAACACAATTAATTGAGTGTGTGGGATGGATTGATCAATCATCCTAAGTGGACAAGTATAGCTTGTCATCAWTGTCACTATTGTGATCTCTTGCAATGATGTAAGAGCCTTTTGCCCCAACTTCACTTGGCTTTTTGGAATGTACCTAAAGGTAGCTTTAGGTTTTGGGTCAACTTGAGATTTTTGTTTATTTTTTTCTTTTTGTAATGATACAACAATATTGATCCTTGAAGTTGATAGTTCCTTGTATTCTTGGAGACCACTTTAAACATTCTCTTTAACTTCTCCCTTTGAAAAAGGGAAAGAAGGAAAATTAGTAGACTTGTAAAATTTTGATCCAAGTCTTCTTGGATCAAAATTCTGTGGATAGTAGAGTTTGGTCTCTCTCCCTAGATGGTCTTTCCTCTTATGCCTCCTTCTTCAACATCCTTACCCATTTAGAACCTTTGGGGGAGAATTTCTTAGTAAAAAAAATTTGGTGTAAGCTAATCCCTCCTTAAGTGTAAATTCTTTGTTGGGAACTGTTCCTCGGAAAGGTTAATACTTGCAACTTGTTACAAAAAAGAAGGTTAGTTTAGTGCCTCTTTCCTCATGTTTATATCCTTTGTTTGGCTAGTGGTGAGACTTCCTCATTTATTAATCTCAT